GCACTAAATAGGAAAGTAAATGCAAGTTTGGTACAATGAAATGCAGGTTAGTTTGTAAATAAACAGTATGGTGTAGACGAAGAAAACGGTACCAAATGAAGATGCATCTTTGTGATTATATGGTTGTGGTAAATTCTCTAGCAAATAAGGAAAGAGAAGCAGTAGCCCTGTATACAATAGAAATAAGGTCATGGGGTAAATTATAGATATACTCTAAATATGCAAAAACGTGCTATAATGGAATCGGCTTTACATATGATTAATATGTTGGCATTACAGTAGAATCTAAAAATGAGTAATTTATTAAAATTTTTCCCTTACGTCTCTGATTCACTCAGCTTAGTTAGACCTTCGGACACCGTTAATGGCAAAACGTTAAGAGTAGAGAGCCCAAGTTTCTTTTTAATATCATTGGCACGATTAATCTTGCTGGCTAAGGCCATTCGAAGAGCTTCAATGTCTTCACTAACTTGCCTTAACTCTTCCTCAAGTGCATATGCATCTATCTGAGTTTCAGAATTTGATTGGACATCTAAATCACTATCGAGCGAAAGCATAACGAGATATAATTACAAGAGGGTTTTGATGAACCCGCAAAGCATAGGCACAGCTGTTATATATTATAAATACACAAGCACTTAAAAGTTTTAAGTTTTGATATTGGCAATAAAGTTATCAATAAATTATTGCTGCTTATATGAATAAATTTAAGTAAGTTATTACTTATACTATGGTTGAATTTTTGAAATTCTAATAGAGTAATAGTTACAATTAAAAGACAATGAGAAAATAATAGTTATGGTGCTTCTATTACTCATTAATTTTATTACCGTAAACTGCTCGTTCATTTCAAAGCGAATCGATCATATATAGCCACGATCCAAAGGTTTCCTGAGACAAAGGGGTAAATCCTTGAAGTGTGCTACCATTTATAAGTTCTTAATAAAAGTAAACAATGCATCGTTAATTTAAAAGGTAATCGGAAATAAATAAGGCCAATGAAGTGCTAACCATAGAACCCAACAAAGTCACTTACTTGGAAATGGAAAGTTCCGGTATAAGCGGCAAAAGAACTGGTATACCTTTAACATTGTTACTAAGAGCTAAACAGCACAGTCCTTAGACCCAAATCAATTCATATTGAACTTTTGTTTATAATGTTGCAGACAGCATAAGAGTGCGAAACTATTCCTTAAAGAAATTCTCAAACCACTACTATAAGAATGGTGGTAATCTGAAATCCTACCTATTTCGTTTAGCCTAATGCTGGTATCTTGAAGAGTTGGTTAGCTACTTCAAGCTTCTTCTTACCTGTTTGGAGATTAGTAAATTGTATGTAATAGCTGGAGGTGCAAAGTGGGTTTTATGTGACTGATCGGCTATTTGATCACTTAGTTAGACGAGAGTTTGACCCCAGATGTCTACGCGTGTTCAGATGAGAGATTGCATGTGTATTATATGCATATAGTTCTTATGAGTGAATTGAAAATTTTAGGTAGTAACCAGGTTCCAGATTAACGATAATCTTTGCCTTACCCCAAGGCCAATACGACTATTGTTTTCTAAGCCTACCTAAAGTCCAAAGGTAAGCGGAATTCAGCTTCATACATTAATTCCCTCTATTATTGTTTTTGGCTATTTTATTTGCTAGTGACTTGCTAATCTTACTAGTAACAGAATAGTGATATGATTTAAGCGATTTAAATCGATACACTTATTAGCCGTCTGTTGGACCCGTTCAGATCTTTGGGCTTGCAGACATTTACAGGCTGTTTATTACCTCCTATGTATTAAGAAGGCATGTCTCTATCAAGTATCATAATGAAGGCTAAAACTTAGAAGCATTGTGTATAATCATGGCTTCAATGTGCATAAAGATGTACTTATGAGCAACAAAGGCACGTTTTTAGAAAATCGGATCTAGTAAGAGGCATTTTATGATGTCTTATCTCATCAAATCTGTGGTACCTTCGTTATTCCATTCTTTAATTTTATGCTTTTGATCTACTGTTGCAGAAAGCCTTTACATATTTAATTCTATGTATTAAAATACGGTTATTTATAATCTCATGTCTTGGTGCCACATGGGACTTACAAGTTTCTTCATTTATTTTTACTTTATCTATGAATTAAATTGCCCTTCTTTATGTTAATTCTCGTGGAATAAGGAGGCTTTCAATATAACTATGCAGGTTAACACAGTTATAAAGAAGCTTGTAAAGCAGGATCAGAAATCCTGAAGATGGAATTGGTTTTAATGAATCTCTGACTAACTTTAAGTTTTAATGATTTTCCTTTCTTTTTTAAACACGGGTGGTGAACTTATCCAAAAAATAGTTTCAAGCTATTGTGCTGCCTTTCACATCTTAAGCACGAGCTCGGCGTGAATTGATCGGTGTTTCAAGAGTGTGTTCTAAAAAGCCCTCAGCACAAGGTGCCAGTAATAATTCTAGAGCTATCTTACTTAATTTTTATCGAGCCCTGGTTGCTTACCTTTTCCCTTCTTCATCTTTATTTGCCAGAATAACTGATCCGACTCAGACCTCCTATCCGAATCTCCGAAATGTCCCTGGAGATCCGTTATTTATCTTATTGGTTGTGTGATTTTACTCGATTCTGGTCACAGTACACGAGTAACTCCAGGCGCTATTTCTCATTGTCTGCCACAGGACCTTGGCAGCATTCATCCTGTGGCTTTACCAACAATAGCGCCTAGATTCAGATTTATATGCTTGTAGGAATTAGACGCTGCCCTTATGACCTATATCTGTGATTAAGGCCTTGTACCTTAAATGAACTGTTAAAGTTTATCTCTGGTCTCCTGCTGCTTTTTGAATGGATTTCTGATCACT